ATAAACTAATTCAAAACTAATCCATACTCCAACACTCGATGGTATTAAATTCCACGAATTAATTCATAAAACTACGTATAAAATCCTTATACCAATATTATGAAACGTGTACCTAAGCATGTTCGTTTTTGTTTTTTTTGTCTGAGATATAGTATATCAAGATAGACTGCCTCGTTGACCGAGTTGAAGCAAGTGCGATTGCCGGGCAAGGGGTCTCGGGTTCGATTCCCGGGTCGGGGAAAGTATTACTGGGATTTAAAAAAAATCTCAGTTGTAGCAAGTCTGGAATTGTGCCCCGTATATGGTTGAGGCTCACCCCCATTACATGGGACTCGTAATGTAAATTGTGAAAAGTGGGTGTTACATCGTACAGTGGCATAATGTGCACATCTGCCTACCCTTTCGGGGATAAAAGGCGTGATGTTATGTATGTTATATATGTCTATAATAGATCAATAGGCACTAGTCTTGTTTTGACCACGTGGGGCAAATAATAGAAGGCATATGTATATTATTCGACCAAAATTCCAGAATATTACAACTACTACTAAGAATAATACAAATTGTAACACCTAATTACTAATGGAGTGGCGTGGTCCTGATTTCCTGTCCCAGTATTTATTATATAAGTATTTAGGTCCCAGTTCCTCCACCCGAGAACTGTACCCAAAACTCCTTGCACGATAGTCACACAGTTATACTCAAATACAGCCGACCGAATATAAAAATAGAAATAATACAAATCCGAATACGAATATAATAATAAAACACACACAAGCAAACGTTCAATATTGTGATACATCACTAAAAATGTTTGTCCAGATCAGTCATACAAATATGACGTTTCCCGCCGTCGCCATCTTGTGAGTAAACTAACATGGACGAAAATATTCCAAGGATAATATAAGTATGTAGTTATGAGTCAGTATAAACATGTTATGGATAAATGTTGGATTTATTGACATGTTTGGTCTGAGGCCTTCGTTTTACGTTTAAAAGTAATCGTAACGAGTACGCGTTCGGCGCTCTGATTGGTTGCTTCATTGGCGCCGGCCAATCAGAGCGCTGAACACGTACTCATTTCGAATACTTTAAAAGTAAATCAAACTCGTACTAAGGCCTCTACAAGGATATTTTTAGGATAGATTTTTAATCATCATCATCATCATCATCAACAGTCTATAAGTGCCAACTGCTGAGCAAAGCCTCTTTTCACACGGAGAAGGTTTGACTATTAATCACCACGCTTGCTCATTGCGGGTTGGCGATTTCAAACTTATAATTAGGAATTATAATCCCAGGTTTCCTCACGATATTTTTCCTTTACTCATTTATCAGTGGTGTCTAAATAATCTTAGAAAGTACATATAACTTTGAAAAAGTAACATTGGTCCTTGCCGTTGATAGGTTTCGAACCCTCACCCTCATGCATGACAAGCGGGCGTCTTAACCTCCGGGCCACCACGACAGTTTTTCAAAAATAGTAACTCGTATTCATAACCTGTAACAGCTCAGAATTGGACTATGACTCAGCCAAGTCTATGCTTATAAGACTTGCATGAAGAATAGGATGAATAGTTTGCCCAATTTTTGAGAGGCCAATTTTCTTCGTATATATTTATTTTTTGAAAAAACGTTGCCCCACATTTGGATTTTCCCCCGTGTCGTAGGTGCGTTTACAAACATACAAGTTCACATACAGAATGACAAGGAACCAGACCCGAAACAACAATTTGTGGATCACACAAAGTGTTGTTTCGTGCGGAAATCGAACCCGCGACACGTTGCACGCCAGCCGGTTGTACCCACCGCACCAACCGAGCAGTCTTTATATTGATGTTTATACTCTAGACATACATGACGATGTTGCTAATAGGATTTTGATGACGACCTCTCGTCTTTCAAATAAATAAATATTTAAAAAGAATAGGGGTTAAAAAAAACATTCTTCACCGCTGTCACCATAATCAACTCGATGGCGACTCGATCTTGGTGATAATTTCAATTTCTCCCTATGCTAGTGACTTTTAGTTTAGCATTGGATACCTTATTGTTATATTTAGAAGAGTCATTAAGTACCTACTTACTCTATCGAAGGTTTTATAATTATGTTTATTTATTTATTTAAACTTTAATGTACATGAAAACTAGTAATGGTACCAACATAAGGCGGAAATTAATGTCATATAGCATTCTCTCCCAGTCACCCTTGGGGTTAAACACAAAATCGGCAAATACAGGCATGTGTAGGAATAATTAACATAAATAGACTTTTACTATAAAATATTTAAAATAGGTATACACCATTTTTATTTTCGACAATTTGCACAAATAAAACCCGTTTTCGAATTGATTTAAACGCTTATCCTGAATATAGTTGCATTTCAGAAATATGATATAGCCAAAACAATTTAAGCTAAACACATTCACCGAGCAATGGCTAGCAAAAAATAGGTAGCACGAGCACCCAACAGCTCGATAGCAATATCGTTTGTGCAGCATTGTACAAATTGCTGGGTTGCGTTATTAACATCGTTCCGTTTTCACAATAACCGGGAAATATGGATATGTGCAGCTATGAAATGTGGCTGTTAGGGTTTAGGGTTTAGGCTAAAAGGTTCCTAATCTCGTTGGGTCGAATGACGCTGATCGTAAATCGACTAGACTTTATAGATATGTAGATATTCGTTTTAAGCTTAGTTATCCTAACAAAATGTTTTTCAAAAGCAAATACCTGGGTGGCTTCAAGGCTCGAGTGAATAGGTTGCTTATGGGACGACGTGCTCTATAGTAGATCGCATCATTGCTTCGACCAGGCGAGATAGTAGTCAAACGCCGTTCCATCAAATATTATTATATATAGGTAAAAAAAAAATACTTAGAAAGACCCTGTTCAGTAAAAAGTTTTTATCTTACCTCAAGTAGCTAGCTCACAGTATTCTTCTGCAAATAACATAATCCCAACACATAATTTTAACACTAAACAATCAGTACCTACTTACTGTGTGGCACTGAAAGTTCAACTAGAAATGTAATAAGTTTACGAAAAATAATAATATGATGATTCTTGGACATTTTGTAAAGTTAACAACTATTGGACAATAGGTTATATAATTTTGAATACTATTATAGATTCACGCAATATAACAGTGAACATTTTTTACAAAATTATTTTAGCAAGTATTTACGTTTTGAAAAAACAATTAAAAATGCGTAGTTCAAAATCAAATCACTCTATCCCGTTCAAACTCATTCATTCATAGAACCGAATTCGAATTTCAAATCCGAATAAATTGTCGTTTGCACGCGGACCATAAACTCGTTATTCAAAAAAAAAAAAGGTTCGCATTTTAAAAATATGAAAAAAAAGCATAAACTTCGCGCCAGTCGTGCATACTTCATAGCCGTGTGAGTTTCCAGAATTTTCCGCAAGAGTGCGCTCCGATCGTCGTCTGCTTACATTATGTGTAGAAGATACGTTGAGCTAATGTTATTGAATTGTGAACTGTTTTGAATTTTATTTCCAAGGTACGTTTTAGCTGTCTAGCGTTTTATTTCTTCATTTGTTAATAAAAATTTTCAAAAATAAAATATTGAATCATTTTTCTAAGTAGATATAGGTAGGTAACATATCTATACCTAAAAGTTATGGATAGGTTATGTTATAACTATAAGTTGTATTATCTATAGCTATAAGAAATGCTTTATTTAATATAAAACATTCCTTATATCTCAACAACAAACTAAACGTTCACCATGAACGCAGATATCCAAAGACAATTCTTGAATGCATTTCCCTACACCATATAAATAATACACACATTGCCTCTAGTAATCGTTTACTTAATAATCACAAGAGAATGTTCCCTTATTAAGTGGGATCATTCATCAGTGCCAGTAAGCAACGTGCCGCCATATTACTTATACATTCGCCACAAACGGCTAATCTGAACGCAGCCGAGAAAACCTGCCGTGTTTTGATGTATTGCAGTGGAGATACGCAGCTGAATGTGTGAACGGACGGCACAGAATGAGGTTAAGGTATAATAATACATATAGTTTGGTAAAGAATTAAAACTGCCTTGGTGCTTGAGTGGTCACAAATTCCAACTGCAAAGGGACCTAAAACTGCGTAAAGCAATGATTATTTTGTTATTATACCAGGCATTAACTCGTCGAGTACCGGTTTTGTAGACACAATTATAGAACAATAGGTTGCGGTCACCGGTGACCGCAACCATTTTTTTTATTTTTTTTTTATTTATAGACCGCAGCCTATTATTCTATAGTTGTGTCTATAATGACGGTAATCGACGAGTTAATTATATCCGTATTATGTAAGTGCTCAGTAAAATTTTCGACAAGTCCAAAAGCTCTTCAGTCTCATTACTAACTACGGTCATAAAAGTAGAAATAAAATACAACTGTCAACAAAATTATCTAAAGTCGTAAAGTTACACAAAATTGTCATTTAAGATGGAGTACCGGTGACAAAGTTTAAAACACTCTATTTGCATATTGACGAAAATTGTTAATTTAATCCGATGTGAAACGGAACTCGTACTAATTCGCTTTAACCAAGTTAAGCCTGCTTTCCATAACTTAACTCTATTATCCCTTCATAAAATCACACTTTAACATTTTTATCGTATTCGATACGAACTTGCAAGCACTCTATTTATAAAAGAGATCGTAATTTCATTAGTACTCACAGAACGGTCTTAATGCAAAACGGAAACGCCTCTCCCTTGAGACAAACTCAATTAATTCCCTTTAAAACACGAGTCCCTCTCAATGAAAGCCTTTAAAATTTAAACACATTTTGACTATTTCAAAGATGGAGTGAGGTACATAACTGTATTTGTATGACAACATTTGTAAGTGTCTAAGTAAAATCTTCGATGTATAATAAAATGTGTATTCGGGATGATAGGGTTGTGCTGTGCGCATGTCAGTAAGTAACTTGTTGGTTCGCCGAGCGGTGTTGAACGGCAGTGCGGCGCGGTACCGCGAGCGTCAGACTTGTGTCCGCTTGTGAACGCATCCGAAACACCGGCTTCCGAATTCGAAAATTTTCCGGTCGGTTTGTTTTCGTACGAGTTAATTTGAAATTCGAATGAAGTTTGATTTTTCTTCGGATGCATTTTAAAATACTTTGTTTGTTATTTGAGAATGTTTCCGTAATAATAATAAATTATTGTTTTGTTATTTAACATTTCACAAATAAAATAAATAAAAAATATTTTTATTACAGTTTAAAAAGAAAATGTGAGACGTTTAAAAAATCAACAACATCTATGGTTCATTCTAATTTCAAATACGTAAACAACTAAAATGGATACGACGTAAACAAACATTTTATTGAGACAAAAATGTGTTAAAATGTACTCAAAAGTGAAAATAAAATGACTGTTAAAGTGATGTGTATGTAATAATGGCTGCTAAAATTCTTGTTATCGCTTGGGCGGCCTGGCTCGCGTTGCCATTGGCAACGAGCCATCTAAATGTTCTCATCAGCCAAGCCGAAGTAATGAAGTTGTTAGGTAAGACTGGATTTGATTTTGATTACCGTTCGAATATTTGAATTTCTCACTGATATTGAGTTTTGAAACTATTGATTTGTGACGGATTTGCTAGTTTCTTTGAATTGTGTACGGAACAATTGTTGTTTGAAGAGTTTCGCAGCGTTTTAGTATTGTAACTGTGTGCCTCGTTGTTGTTTTTTTTTTTTTTAATAGCCTTTATTCAGATTTAGATCAGTGTTACAAAGGAAAATACATTAAAAACTTAATCTAAAAATAATGTAAATACTAACTTAAAATTTAATCCCTTATATAGCTTTTGTATAGTTTTTGGAAATCTGTTTGCCAGTCGGCAAAGGCCTCCTCCAACCTTTTCCACTCTCTTCTTTCTTGAGCCACTCTGTTCCATGTGACGCCTGCCACTTGTCTAATATCGTCATCCCATCTCTTCTGAGGCCTTCCTTTCTTTCTTTTTCCTTCTCTTGGGTACCATCTCGTAACAATTTTGCTCCACTTGTCTTTTCCTCTCATCATATTATTGTTTATAGTTTGTGTAAAGCAGACAAGATAATAAATATTTAGTAGAGGCAAGCAATTTGTTTCGACGCATTAAGTTATTAATTATTTTGTATACTTTACTGAAAAAGTAATTAGCCCGATGATTGTTTGAAAACAGTATGATATGGTATGATTTTCGGACGATTTTTTTTTCGAAGTTGTTGTGGTATAGATTATCTACGATTAAAATATGAAATAAAATAATTATTTTATTTTGTTTGTTAATTTCTTACGCCAAAATTCGTTAGGATACGTACAAAGAGATCTTTGTACCTACTGTTTTCAGTTATTTGATATCTTCCGTTTGAAAATATAATCATCTACAATAAAGACTGTTAAAAACTAATAATAAGTAACTTCTGAGAAGGAGTTTCTGAGAAGGAGACTTAATTAAACTGTCAAACACCAAGGGGTCACCGGTGACCGCAACCTATTGTTCTATAATTGTGTCTATAATGACGGTACTTGACGAGTTAATATTAATATACCTACTTATTAAAGCTGTTATCAGTAGTAAACAATGAAAAGACTGTAGTTAACAAAATAATCAGCAATAGTAGGTAAAATTAAATTTAATATATATTTTTTCTTCTACTAATATTTTATACCCGCTTGGCAAAAAGAAAATATACAGAAATTCCTGCATGCCTAATAATATTAAGAAATCTCACACAAAAATCCTCAAGGACTCTATACTCGAAACGATAAAGGTGAAAATTCCTTAACTTCAAACATTATCACACGGCTTATTCAAAAGCAAAGTCGTAAAAAACTCGCTTCATTAAAAGATCAATGTACCGTAACCTTATACTCCATTAGTCAACAATTTACTAATACTTTTCCACGCATTACTTCCTTATCAAAACAAATACGTATGACGTCACAATTTTACCCAACCGCCAAAACGAGAGTGATGTTTGTTTCTATTTACACACGTCTCATATCTGTGACACTATCGAAGCATATAACACAAAGGGTCTGGCTTCAGACGTCATCCCCAGTTTCCGAAGATCAAAAAAATGTAATTATCTACCCTCGATCTACCCTCAACCATTTATATTTGTTCTACAAATTCGACGTATTTCGTACGCAATTGGGTTTGTGCTCAATGTTGGGAGCGATACGAAGTAATTTGTCTTGTATTTGAAGACGAAAGAATGTTAAGTTAAAGAACAAAGAGATTGGAGTTAGTCATGTGTGTGTAGGTACTCGTATTTTATCTAAAAATATAGATACGTGAACAATGAGTATTTCAGCAACAAAGATTATCTCAATTATTATCTGATAGGTAGATAGGTTCTTTTGTCTAGAGACTACGAACATAGATTTAATATAATATCCAAAAAGTTTTCACAAGATTAATAATCGTGATATTTTCAATCGAAAAATCTTATATCTTATACTATTATATAAAGCGGAAGAGTTTGTTTGTTTGAACGCGCTAATCTCCGTAACTACAAGTCTAATTTGAACAATTCTTTTTGTGTTAGATAGTGAATTTATCGAGGATGGCCATAGGCTATAAAACATCATCATATAGGTCATAGCTACGACCAATAGGAGCTGAGCAGAGCGTGTGAAACCGCAGGGAAGTAGCTAGTATTATATAAAACGTCATTACCAACAAATAAACATTTTCAAATTTCAAATTTCAAACTTCCTTGTCTTTTTAAAAGGAATACCAAAATTAACGTATCGTGTCAATATGAAAACGCACCCAAAGCTTCACTCTGCCACTAGTTTATTACTTTAGGGAGCTCGCGACATCAAGACTATCCGAATTGGAATCTTATTACAGATAAAAGAAACTTGCCACCGTGCAATGCATACGCAACGAACGCCCGAATAACTACGAATAATTCCGAATAACTCCGATTGAGTCATAAACCAACATGTCACGAGATAAACGGAATAAAAATGAATGTAATAGTTACTGCGATGGTTTATTTCTTGCGATATTTTTGGCGCTATCTTGCTCGTAAGGATTTTTTATCGTGGAAGAAAATGTATGAAGAAAATTGTTCGTTGGTGATTTTCTCTTGTTGGTAAACTGTGAATGTGTACAGCTATTTATTAAAGACTGCGGTTCACGGTTTTGTAGAATTTTATCGGCGATTTAAGAAGTTAACGAATACTTTTTTAGATTTGAAGATTTTTAAAACCCTTTTTAACTTTGATCATAATGTTAACACAGCCAAACCAATTTTAGATAGTCATCATGTCACCATAATAAAGTACCATTAAACGATCTCTAATAAAATTCCAACCAATGAATCATGTCTAATCAACCGCGCTATTACGACATACATAGTTCAACAACCCACTCCTTCATTCGATTAACGAAATAAAATAAGAACAAATGACAGCTAGGTGTCAAAAAATAATAGACTGCAGTGACATCTGTCGGGAAGGGGAATTAATGACAGTTCAAACATCAATTTGGGTGGGACCTTATCGCGTCGCGCCAGTGTGGGGTGCCAACTACTTAGGTCGATGCAGGATGCAAGAAGAAATAGAAGGTCCACTTGGTCCGCTTGTTACCAATCGAGCTGTACAAAACCAATCTAACATGGTCTCTCTTAAATGCTCTTTTCGCACATTGTATGGTCAGTTTATACTGGTTGGCATAGCTTGATATGTAGCGGCATGTACACATAATACGCACCCCACTACATAATTATAGTAAGTATCGAAGGGGACTGTGATTTGATTCTGACAGGCTTTATAATGAGACTGTTTACTTCATGTTCACGTTTTGTATTTACCTTGGCTTAATGCAAGTTGGAGAAAATAATGTGCACAGTCCGGAAATATTCAAGGTTCTTTGAAGATCTGTCTTTTGGCTACAAAAGAATGAATGATAGTTCAACTCCAAAAAAGTATTTCTATCTGTTCATAACAATGAAGGAGATTGTAGTTAAATACAACAAATCTTTAAGAAATGTATTAAATTCTATTTCTTGTTGCTCAATCTACTGACCAATATGTAGATAAGCTATTGATGTCCGTGCCGAAATTAGCTCTTAACCGCTTTCGTGCTGCCGATTCGGAGTCGCGGAGAACCTAACGGGTAACCGGGGCTCCGACTCGACGTGCAGGAGAAGGAACGGGGTGGTTTTTAGTCAGTAAGAGTCTGACACTCCCTCCCGTCTCACCTAGGCGGGAGCAGTCATTCGATGATTTTCACCCCTTGAAAAAAAAACCGCTTTCGTGCTTAGTTTCGAAGTAAAACCGTTTCATAAAAGAGTACAATAAATAAATAAATAAATAAATGTAGGTTTTAAGACTAGTTGTTATTTCCTTAGCACTTCTGTACTTCTGTACCCTATGATTGAGTCTAAAAGGAGAGTCGTATGCATACGTCGGCCAAGATAATTGGATACTGGTCTTTTTTCATAAAAAGTAACGAGTGTAGAACTGCACTCAGAGGAATGAGAATAAAACTGATTGGAATTTAATTAGCTCGTGTGACGGTGTGACTGCAAGTTAACGCTCGAACAAAATGATTTATGTGCTATAAAGTTATGAGGAAGCGCATGATTACGAATATTATTTATTTATTTATTTTCTATTTATTTTTTAATTGGTATTGTAGGGTTGGTCTTTGAAAGGTGTGCACCAAAATGACTCTGAAATATTGTATGTTTTATGTTTAGTAGATGTTTTTCTGAAGTACTTACTCCGTAATATTTCCTTTATTTTTACTGTAAACTTTCAATGAGATAAAAATCAGAAAAGGAATGAAACACAGTGAAAATTATAATCTATTTAAAAGTATTTCTTTCGTCATTTAACACATTAAACACCATGGTGACTGACGTTAGTGAAGGATTTCGCTTTAAAATTTTCTATTGGCAGTCAAAACCTTAAAATAAATAAATTAAAAAAGCATTTTAAACGTACTTTAGCAAAAACACCAAAAATACATGACACACACTATCAAACCCATCTTAACAATATAAAGTTTATGACATACATAACTAATCCATATAAATTTATCAGCAGAGAATGTTTGCACCATATTAAGTATAAGGAAATCAGCCACTTGTTGACGATGCGTGATGGCAAACCATTATACTAGCCCCAATTTATGGCAGAGCTGATATTGATATCTCTGACCTTATTACGAAGTACCTAGGTACCGCCCCGCTTTGAGTATAATAATAATATTATAACAGATTGTTGAAATTTAATTTTGATGAAAATTAACTCCGTGGTATGTAATTATAACGTTATTTATGGAGGTGTTTGAATGAGGAATGAGTTGTTCGTTGGGAGTGAAGTGTGATTATAAATTTTTGGTCTTATTCGGTTCTTGGATTGCTTGGTAATTCATGTTTCAGCATGACAAATAATATTTTGCTGTTACCTGCTTATGGCTGTTTTTAACAATCACCGCTAAACTGTTGTCAGTATACCTCTACATGTGTAAAGACCATGTCAGACTTAAGATATTTGTTTTC